CCACCTTGATTGTCCGCAATGGACGCGGAAGCGCGCACGCCATAGAAGTACTTCAGCAGTGCCTCGTCACCTTCGGCGGCCGCTATGTGCAACGGTGTCTGGCCCTCACCATTCTGGGTGTCGACATTGGTGCCGTAATCGACCAGGATGCGAACCATATCGACATCCCGTCGTCTGGCGGCCAAATGCAGGGCCGTGTCTCCATTAGCTGTTGTTGCCTGCGCAAAGAAGGTGAAGGAAAATACACACATATTTATTCAAATTACTGTTATGTGCTGATAAAGAAGAGTGAAATAATTTTCGCGGCAGTGCCACTGCGCGCATGGAAGTAAGGTATGAGCCAAAAAGGGAGAAGTAGGGGAGGGGAATTTTAATTGGCGCTGGAAATTATACACCACTATTCGGGGTCAAGATTTCGTCGGCGTTGCTTTTAACTAAAACATATGCAAATTACGTGGCAGTCAAGTTGAATGTGAAGGTAAAAAAGTTTGCGGGCTTTCACATATTTCGCACATGGAGTTGTAACGGAATACATACTTTGATGGTCACAATTGAATCAATTTATGAAATAGCTAGCTCAAAGCCAAATTAATTCTCCGCACAATGCCTTCCGTATAGTGCAAAAGAAACCAAAAGTGTCTGAATGTGAAATCAGTTAGTCACGTGGTTATTCGAAATCGCTTTGCACACATCTTGTAAGAACTTTTGCGTGACTCCTTGCCACAGCCAATTCTGTAACCAGTAAATTGAAAGTGCCAGTAAATCAAAAAAGTTGCGCGTATAAAACTAGTTCATGGGGAATTCCTCGCATGAGCCTTAAATTTAGCTGCCGCTGAGTGCACTGTGACCGCCAGGCGAACTGCCATGATCCACTGCACGTCGCTGGCAATTTAATCAACGCATTCGCAAGTGAAAATTTTAATTTGCAACACCAAAAGCTTTTGTAAAGTTTGAGTGCTGCCGTCTAAAAGGGGTGCATACTTTCTGGCGTTGTGGCTTAATGTGTGTGCATGTATGTATGCATGTAGAAAAGCGTATAGCTGAGTGTGTAACTGCATCGCTGACTTCTAGAAGACCGCGTGCCACTTTTTGTTTGTGGCATGCAATGGCCGTCAATGTCATTGGTGCTGCGTGTGTTGCTAGTTTTACAAACACATGTGCATACATATGTTGTTTACAAGTTTTTTGATATTGCACATGTTGCAATAAATAATAAAGACTATACATAAAAACTTTAAACATTTGTGCGTTGATTCGATTTGACTTTTTATGAACCAAGCCCATTTTTTTGCTCAAATTTTTTTTTTTAATCCTGCTTCAGAGATTGATTTATGTGCTAGGAAAGTCATAAATCTGTGGGGAAAAAGACATTTCAAGGCGGACAAAATGATTTACATGCACCGCCTAAAAAGTTATAAAATTCTAACGATCCAAACAAAGCGCTTACTTCAGAATTCAGTCGGTTTTTGTAGAAAGAAAATTATTTTTAAGTTATATATTTCTCAAATTTTCCGTTGCATAATTTTTGAAAGTCTATAGTTAGCTCCACGATTGTGAAGGTGAATAGGTACGTACATACATATGAGCAAATGTCACGGGTTGTTACATTCTTCGACAAAAACGTGTTTTTGGTGGAGAAGGGAGGCACACTTATCTTAGACATTGCATTATTTTCAGTTTTGCAGTTTGGCCCTTGGCGGCCGCTGTGGTGTAGTGGTTAGCAGTGTGCGGTACTACTCTGCAGGGCTTAGGATCAAGCCCGGTTCAACCTAACATCAAAAAAAAAAAATGTATTTATAATAGCGGTCGTCCCTCGGCAGGCCATGGCAAACCTCCAAGTGCATTTCTGCCACGAGAACCAGCTTCTCATATAAATACAATTATACAATTATGAATAAATATAATTTCTTTCACAAAAAATACGGGTATTATTTTTTCCATTTAGAAAAATTCTAGAGGGCGAGAGCTTAATATTGTAAACTCCTCCCTCGCATATAAATTTTTGGGCAACCCTTATGTATAATTAGCGTACAACAAATACATTTGTCGGTATTGTTAAGTGTAAAATTCTTCAAGTACCTTCAGTTGGTCTGATGTTTGAGCTGACAGCAGCTCTCTAACCATAGACTGATTACCGGATTCTACCGCAAGCAGCAGTGGTATTTTACCTCGCTGTAAATATAAAAAAAAAATATCGAGATCAATACAATGTTCAGTACATATACATGAATATCTATAAATATAATATTTTCTACGTTATACTCCTAATATAGACATATACATACATGTACATACTTATTTATTACTTTGAAACATAGCGGTGATTTGCTTAAAAAACTTAAACTCCATAAATCATAAATGCGGTAAAAATTCTTGAAAGTTTTTAGTCAGATTTTCCGCATAGAGAAATAATCACAACAACATCACAAAAATTTAATTTGTTTCATTAATTTAAGCTACACATGCTTGCTAAACAATGGGAGAAATGAGCAAAGTTGCGAACTTTCATTCTTATGAAAACTAAATTCTTGAGTTATTACGTTCTTGGGAAATCGAATAAAATTTTAGCCAGCTAAATAGTAGAAAAATCTTCGGAAAACATTTCCGATACTCCTAAAGATTTCGTTATGATTTTCGAATCTTTGATTTGCAGGATATATGTGGGTTAAAATTTACCAAGTGCTACCGCGCAAACTTTATAGCTTCCGATTTTGGTGAAAATACTTGTGTGAGTGGCCCTTTAATACAGGGGTCCTATTTTTTTTTGCTTTTACTGCACAGGGGTATTTTCAATTAACCATAACTTTTATCACAGTTAGTCGATTTGACATTTATATCAATGTCTTTTTAAAGCATTTATCATTTGCACACTTGTCGAAATATTCGCGGTATGTAATTTGTAGAAAAATTCAAAGCAAAAGTCGCAACTCATGAAATTTAATTTGATAATTTCTTAAATTATTTAACTAAGATATCCTTTAGCGGAATCCAAGACGTTATAGCTTGTTATATTTATTTGATTCAATGTACTTCTTGCTTTCTTCTTCTTATTTTTGTACACCGCAAAAATGTGTGCAGTAGATTTTCAGATATTACTGGCCGGTCTTACTGCAGTTCGGTATATCGTAATGAATCCGCTCCGATTTCATGTACGCGTCATTGGTGTGTAACTGCCAACTGAAATATATGTGGTCGGTAAACTTTCGGTATGGTTAGCTCTCCAAGGCGCTCACAGCTAGTGAGCATCCATCGTGTTACCACTGAAAAGAAAAAGATTATCCTGGATCGGTACAACAGGTAATTCCGCGAGCAGCTGATGTCCACCTTAAAGACTTTCTTTCTCTGGAGCAACCATGAAGTGCGACCCGAGATGTTTAAACCTGAGCCTCGCAAAGGCAGGGCAGCTGAGAAGATAGTGCTCCGAAATGTTCAGTATACTCTCGCTAAAAAACCAAAAATACCGATCCCGTATCGTTCCGAGTAATAGATAAGCGCTCTTGGTGTAGATTGTAGGTAGGGATGAGTACAACATGACATACATGATGCACTTAAGTATTGACGGTAGACTATTTATCGTCTGATTTTAAAAATCAAGCAAGTTTTGAAAAGGGATTAAGGAACCGTTAAAATAATCCATACAATGCATCTTCTTAATTTTTTTTCCAATTTGACCATCGCTAATTTTAAAAATTTCTATGAATGTTGCTAATTGTGTAGTATTTATCTAAAAGTACATTTATTTTCGTATAATTTTATACCTCACTTTATGCAATTGCATACAAATTGTCGCAGATAAGCAAATGTACGGTATTGAATTTATGTGTGAGTATGTACCGGCCCTTCATATTTTTTTAGCACTGTGGTCAAGTAATGTTTACTTAAAATTGTTATATACCAGGGACCAAAAATATCGAATTTGCAAATTGACAACGTTGCCCAAATTTTGAAATTTAACGAAAAGGTTACTTCATAACAGTTATTTAACGAGAATTATTTTTTCCGTTGCTTGAAAGCAGCTATTGCCCGATGTTTATTTTCACGTTGTCGTAAAAATAAACATTTGGGAATAGCTCTTATCGGCAACGGAAAAAATATTTCTCAGGCATAACAGTTATCAGACAACGTAAAAATTAAACGTTGGGTTATAACTCTTATCGAGGAAATAAAAAATATTTCTCATATAATAACTGTTATGGAGCAACGCTTTTGCGATAAAACTTATAACTGTTATGTCCCTGACATATACCATGGCTCATTAGCAAAAAGTTGGTATTTCATATAATTTTGAAAAATTGAGCGCGGTACCGCCCTCTTATGACTATGTAAGTTTGTTAATTATATATAATTATTAAGTCTAACTGAACATACTGTTATTTTTATTTTTACGATCATATTATAACTGTCATTTTCAGATTTTATTTTTAGATCAAAAAAGATTTAAATCGGTCATAAACACGCACTATCTTTTATAACGGTTAAAATTGATCGAAAAAATTAAAATCCTAAACAAATTAATTTTATCAAAAAATAAAAATCCAAATTTAACGATTTTGCAATGATCTAAAAATAAAAGTCTTGATATTTAAAGGTTCTTTTCGGTCCCTGATTATGACCGATTGTTCTTATTAATAAAGTTTTCGAAGTCATTGTAATTTTTTCAAATTATAATTATTTATTAAAAAAGCATATGCCAATGCTTAAGAGCTTAAAATAGTTATGATAGCCTTTTTTGCTAGGAACTGTGTGAGCACGAAGAAATAATAAATTACACTCAGAGCCGTTGTTTCAAGCGGCTTTTAAAACAACAAAGAACAAAATTTGTGCCCTCAGAAACATCATTAACAGTTAAACTTGGTATAATCGTAACAGTATTCTCCAATACTCTTTAAAATTTCTTTATATGACTCACTGATTTTGTCCAACGTTTTGGCGCTGAATAGGTTTTCTCAATTACGATTTCCTTCAACAGAGCTCATTCAACAAGAGTTGCGTCTTTCTTTTGAAAAGAGGATGTATGGACATTGGGAATTTTCATCGAGTAAATTCGAAAAAAAACTCCCATTTTCTTCTTTTATCCAACATTGGCCATCACTTATTTAAAAAATTTCTATGAAAGTTGTCAAACATGTGCTTTTGCTGTAAAAGCTCTTTTATTAGCAAACAAATTGAAGCCATATTTTTTATCGAATAATAATGATTCAAGTACTTAGGTATGGATTTTTCATAAAGCATTTGTTTCTGTAAGTTGCCAATGCATCTTTGTTCTGAAATAAACGTGTTTGAAGGGCAGATAAATTTTAAAAGCTACTTTAGAAAGCGGCACTTAAAATCATAGAATTATTTGATGAATCGAAAAAAATCGTTTCTTTAACTTTTTATAACTATTTCCTTTACCACAATAGTGCTCATCGATTTTCCCCACACACTTAACTTTCCAATGTGATGCATTCTTTCCATTTTAGCCCCCTCTTTAACTATTTCTGTTCGGTGCCCTAAATTATGCTGCAATTTTTACGCATTACGACGGCGTCTACGGAAATGTTGAAAGGTGTATGTTTATGTCATTGTTACTTGGATACTACAATGGGTTTTCAAACATTTTTACTGTTACCGGAGATAGACTTGTTTGTTTTTGGTTTCATACATACAATGAACATACTATACTGAAACACCCATTTACCGTCTAAATAAAAGGAAAGTAAATCTTTACTGAGTTGTACTCATATGGGCATTTCCACCAGAAGGTCCATCGTAGACAAAATATTAAAGTTAATAATATTATATTGTTTTACAATTTCCATATTTTCATAGGGAATTTTATTTAAAAAAAAAATTTACGCATATTCTTAAGTAATTTCGAGATATTCGAATGCATAGTCATGCAATTGCAACTTTTCTCATTTGGATATTTCTATTGCACGCTTTGTTTTAACACAAGTTCTTAAAGAGAGACTTATGCATAATAAAGTATGCGTTTGCCCGTGTGACAGTGATTAAAATTAAATTTAGAAAAAAGGATAAATAAGTTTTGTGAAAAATCAAAACTACTTTTAAGAGACATAAAGGCGCAAGTTCGCTTCAAGGTTCGCTGAATTCGGAGTTCAAAGTGTTGGCCGCGAAAACCACTTATGTTTTTTTCCCCTTACGAATGCCTCGGTATTTTGAAATTATGTTCATACATATTTTAAAGACGACAAATTGCCCAAAATCAACTTTAGCACCAAGTATAGGGCTAAATAAGTTATATTATTAAATATAAAAAAAATCTATGTTTGGTTTTTTTTTCAGCTGGAATGTGTACGATGGTCACGTTCGACAAAATGGAAATGCCCATATGTATGCATGTATGTCGTCAAGTTTGTAAGTTTTGCTGCATTCATAAAGAGTTCAACTTTGCACACTTCACCGACGCCAAGTTGCTGTCTCAGACACTTTCATATTCGCTCAGAAAAAACAAAAAAAAAATACGGAAAAAACCTTTTGCGTGCCAAGGAGAAATCGACGAACGGACAAAGCTGTTGCAGACACATAAACTCGAGTAAGGTACAAGCAAACATACATACATATACTTAACACGTACATATGTACATATGTATATGTTTATTTTGTGAAATAGAGCCAAGTTTACTGTTAAGTGGTTGGGCGGCAAAGCAAAAAGTAGTTTATGTTTTTATACCCGAGCGCACTTGTGCACAAGGGTATTATAACTTTGTTCACATAACGGTTGTTTGTAACAGGCAAAACGAATCGAGATAGATATAGACAAATGTATACATAAATTATCAGAATGAAAAGAGAAATCGATTAAGCGGTGACTGTCTGTCCGTCCGTCCGTCCGTCCGTCCGTCCGTCTGTGCACACGATAACTCGAGTAAAAATTGAGATATCTTAACGAAACTTGGTACGTGAACTTCTTTTGGGCGTAGGACGGATGGTATTGAAAATGGGCGAAATCGGACAATAACCACGCCTACCTCCTATATAACGGTAATTTTAAGAAATACGAAAACTGCGATATTTTAGTAACTACTGAAGATAATTCACTCAAAATTGATACTTACAATGAGTTTCAGACGGAAAACATGAATTTTATAAATTTTTGGAAAATGGGCGTAGCCACGCCCACTTATGGTAACATGTGTATATCTTGGTAACCGCAACACAAATTTCTT